AGTAAGCGTTTATGAGGTACCGTATCAAAAGCCTTAGCGAAATCCAAATATACCACATCCACAGACCTCCCTCCATCCAGATCTCTACGTACCCCCTCGTAAAAAGTCAGTAGGTTAGTCTGACAGGAACGGTCTTTCCTGAACCCATGTTGATTCTCACTAACTATACCATTAGCCTGAACAAATTCTACTAAATAGTCCTTAATCATCCCCTCTTGCAGTTTGCACACTACTGATGTAAGACTAACTGGCCTGTAATTCCCAGGTTGGCATTTTGCCCCCTTTTTGAAAATTGGAACTACCGTAGCCCTCCGCCAGTCACATGGAACTCTACCAGTCATTAGAGAGTCCTTAAAAATGAGGAATAACGGTCTTGTTATAACCTGGCTTAGTTCCTTAAGTATCTTGGGGTGTAAATTATCCGGTCCCAATGCTTTATTTGCATTAAGTAGACTAAGTCTTTGTTGTATCCCGGGTTCTGTCAACCACTTGGCTGTGTTTTGTGATGAACTAGGTGTTTTATCGGGGGCATCAAATCCGTTTCCCTCCTGAGTGTATACTGAGGAGAAGAAAGAGTGAATGATAGACTGACCACGGTAGATATGAGATGCCACTGTGCTTGCTTATTACAGCTTGCCTGAAAAAAGAACTGTATTGCCAACAAAAATCAGTCAGCTTCTTCTCCTGTCCACAGAAGAATAGAAAATAAAATTGGTTATATAAAAACAATAGACAATGCCTACTTTCAATTCTTTGATAAATAGAGCTCTGCGTAAAATACTAACCAGTCAAATGATATTCAGTATTTAATAAAATATGAATTATAATTGTTTGCGGTTGCATAAGTATAGTGACAATCATGGGATGTATTCCTGCACTGGTGGTGCTTCCTAAAAAGTGGAATGTTTTGTTGGTGTTCCAGGAACTGATTGACATCAATCAACATCATCTTAACGTGATTGGTGTTGGGCATCCGTCATTGGACAGAGTCTGTCAGGTGACTGCTTCTCATGGTCTGCACAGTAAACTGACAGGTGCTGGAGGAGGTGGCTGTGCAATAACTTTACTGCGACCTGGTAAGTATTACACTCATTTGTCATGTCATGACTGTTGTGAGAGAAACCTGAAAACAAATTCTCTGTGGATTTTAGCTTTCCTGGCAGTTGAAGATGAATGAACGTATGTATACATGTGAACACCTGTCATGTGACCGCTATCTGCTCATTAGAACTGGGGAGATGCGATTTGTGCTTTCTGTAAAGCAGATCTTTATATTCGTGACAAATTGATTTTTTGTGCTTCCTATTCGCACTTTTGTAATTTTTTTTTTTACATTTCCATTTTTGCAGTAAAATTCGAGAAAATCCCATTTATAGGTTTGTTAAGCGTTACACAGCATATCTAAAAAAACATTTTTACAAATATATCTTTTACCTTTTAGCTGTTTCTTTGGTGAAGGTCTTCATGCCGATTCCAGTCTACTCTGAGCAGTTTAAAAGTGAAATTAGCTGGTCAAACTGATGGGCCTATTCACCCTGGTGCGATCCGTTAATCGGTTCCATGCGATTAACTTACCGTAGGTGTGATGCACGGCAAGGTGCGTTAGTTGCACGGAACTGTGCGAATAACACATCGCACCAGTGTGAACGGGCACTTAGGGTCAAACTGAGCTTCCTCTTATTAACACACATTGCCTCAGTCTTTAATCCTTTGTTAGAACAGGCAGTGTTCAAATCTAGTTTAGCACTGATAATGAAATCTGCCAGCACAGTACAGACAGGGTTAATTAGAGTAAACATAACTTCCCACAGCCTCCCCCTCTTAACATTACATAGTGGGAAGCTAGGTAGGATTTTTAAGCAAGTAAAAAAAGCACTAAAAATGTAAGCATTTCTTAAGTTATGCTATGTGATTGGGAACATGTAACAAATAGAATCGGTGTTATCCCAATTTGGCTGCAAAAGTGGAAATACACTTTAAGACTACTCGTTATCGTTTACAGTTTTTGGACAGTTGTTTTTATTGTGGTTCCTATGTTGTGTTAGAAAAACCACATTAACCAAGCAGCTCTCGCACTTGTATACCCCTTATGGATCAGATCAATTTTTACATTTCTTAGCTATAATAAAATAATTGTTTTTTTCAGGACAAACAAGGCTCCCTTGGCAAAAATAGACGAAAAGATTTAAAAAAAAATCACCCTTTGTGGTACTTAGACCAGTGTTCGTTTAAGAACAAATTGTTACTTTAAAGTAGAAAAGTATACATTTTTATTCTATAATTGTATTCTATAATTTGTTCCATTTATAATGGCACTAAAATTACATTATTGGTAGAAAGTAAAGACTGCAAAGTTATTTACAAATACATTTAAAGGCCTTTTTTTTTTTTTTAAATGTATGTAAAAATAATTCAATTTTTTTTTTGAAAACAGCAGAAAAATAATAGTGATGTGGCAAAGGAATTAATTTAGGGCTGATCAGAGGTTAGTAAGGGGTTAAATAGGAACACACAGATGAAAGCAACTCAGCAAATAAAAAGTAACAGTAAGCACATTGACAGCAGCAACTAGAGCAGGGGTGGGCAACTCTCCAGCTGTTGTGTTACAGATCCCAGGAGGCATTGCAAGACTGACAGTTACAGATATGACTACCAGAGATAGAAGCATGTTGGGATTTGTAGTTGAAGCATAGCTGGAGGGCTGGAGTTGCCCACCCTGACCTAGAGCCTGCTGCTGTATTTACTGTTTTTATTTTTATTTTTTTACACTTGCATTTCTTATTCTGTTCGCTACCTCCAAGGTAGCGAATAGAATTACCGAGCCGGATGCTGCTAGGCCCCCTATGAGAATAGGGGTGAACAGCAGCGAATGAACTGCCAGACGTTTGCCTCAGCCGATGAAAATGTTGCATCGACTGAGGCAAACAGATTCTTCCGATCTTCCACTGTTCGGCTGAAACGAAGGGAAGTAAAGGGATCCGAAGGCAACTGATGTATGGCTAAAAATAGCCATACAGAGCTGCTGTGATAGGCCAAACGGTCTTTGGCTCCTTTCATTTCGGCTCGGTTATTCAGTCGACTGCCTTTGGCAGCTTAGTGAATAGCCCCCATAATCTTGCAAAGGCAGTTTTTTTTATTGTAGAAGAGACATACTATGTCTGTTCTGCAATAAAAGATTCTTACCTGCCTGGTTTGGATTTTGGCATTTGCCAAGATAAATGAACTCATACACAGGAGTTATGTCATCCCGGCATGGCCAGGGAAAATGTCCGAAAATCCCATACCCGGAAGAAGACTGGGCAAAGATATCAGTGACCAGTGAGGGAACTCAGGGATGTCACGTTGCTTTAATTTAAATGTAAAAGGCAGATATTAATCCAAGGCCATGTATACAGCATATGTTTCAGGAGGATGCACCCCACTGATCATCTGAGGAGCTGCATAAGGTCAAATGCTGTGAATTTCAGGCAACACAGATTAATGAAAATTCCCTGGAGTTCCCTAGAAATTTCTGACTTTTACACAGCAGCAATTTTTTCAGGATAACAATAGCAACTCACTGATTGGTATTGTTTGTTGCCTGGAATTGCTGTTTAACATACTGACTAGTAGTGTGACATCTCTTTTAAATTCAGGGACCTACAGTGAGTTAAGGCAGCGTGTATGCAACAATATTTTGGAGTTTACATCGGAATTGATGACTAGAGTATACCAAGTACTTTATTATTGCCTCTTAAAGGGCAGTACCAGGAATGGTTGGTAGGTGGCAGTATTTCCCAGCCTGTAATAAACTGAAATCTTGATGAATTATTACACACGGTAAATTAGCTAACCTTAAATGTTGTTGTTTACCTTTATCAATAAATTAATCATACACAAGCGCATATAAGTAGTAATAAGCAAATAAATGAATATTTATGGAATGTTCTTTTGTTGCAGAAACATACTGTACAAATGTAACTCCTAATAATAATTCTCCTTTTTAGATGTAGACCGAAGTGTGGTGGAAGCGGCCAAGCAGCAGCTCGTGGACTGTGGATATCAGTGCTGGGAGACCAGTATCGGAGCCCCAGGTGTTTCTTTGCATTCTTCTCTGTCATTGCCAGAAGATATTAGAAGAGCTTTCAGCAATATATAAACTATATTTAGCCTATGGATATTACATTGTGCAGCACCATCACAGACTTATCTCATGAAGATTGTATTAGAACTGCTTGCTTTACTGAGGCTGTGAAAAGATGCAAAGCTTGTGACTTTAATAATGGTGTATTACCTGTTAGCAGCTATCAGTCATCGCACTGGCCAGAGATGCAGTCATTTGAAATCGAATTGTGGCTCAGAGAAATGTATTTAGTTATAAAGTATATTTTGGTGTGTTTACCAATAGGTTACAGAGCACCAACTGCAGTCCCCTTAAGCCGTCAAAAAAAACTATGCCTTTTGTAGACACATCACATGAAATAATTTGTCCAGCATCTTTGATTATTGACAGTGACACTAAACTCAGGAGTTCAATCTTAAAATTGCATTCAAGTACCCTAACTATTAACAAAAATGTATCTTATTTGTGTATCACTCGGCCGTAGATCCTCACATCAAATCTGAATTAGTGCTGACACTGTCCTTCCTTCTGGAGAGTGGCTACTTTTGTTCCCCATGGTCCCTGTGTGTGTTGTAAAGTAGCCACCGCTCCTAGCTCACTCCTGTGATGGACTACAATCTCAAAGCAAATTAGTAAACTAAACACAAGATCGTAGTCCATTACAGGAGTGAGCTTGGAGCGGTGGCTACTTTACAACACACACAGAGATCATGGGGAACAAAAGTAGCCACCCTCCAGAAGGATGGACAGTGTCACTACCAATTCAGAGATGATTTGAGGATCTACTGATGCACAAAAAAGGTCCAGTATTGTTAATAGTTAACATACTTGAATACATTTATAAGATTTAGCTCCTGAGTTTAGTATCCCTTTTAACTGCCTCCGGGCCGGCCGTAGTAAAAAAACGGCCGGCCGGGAGCTCTCTAGATCTGAGCGGGCGTCTTTAGACGTCCGCACAGACACGGGCGCGCGCGAGCGGGAAAAAGCCTGAAATTTAAACAGGCAGCGATGCCTGTTACCATACAAGCGATATACATTATTTTTAAAAGTCCCCACCCATACATACACACATGCAAACATGCGTCGGGGGCGCATACATGCAAAAAAGACGATTGCGCCAATTACGCCGCACATGTTACATATCGCCACGAACGTCGGAGTGAGAGCAATAAGTCTAGGGCCATCAATCACTGATAACACTAAACTGATGAGCGGTAGCGGTAGCGGTAAAAGCTTTTAAAGTGGTGTTGCCTATGGCCAATTTTGGGTACGGTAGTTTTCTACAATTTTGCGGGTGCCCGTGACCCGATCTTTTATATTTTACCAAAAAACTGGGTAATAATAAATGTTTCCTAACATGCTATAAAAAAAAAAACTTATTTTTTTCAACATTTTTCTGTAATTTTTCCTAATTATAGTAAAAAAAAAAGAAGCTCTATCTGTCCCCAAAAAATGGTATAAAATTAATTTCAGTACAGCGTTGCATGACGGAATAAACGTCAGTCAAAGTACTGCAGCGCTGAATACTGAAAAATGGCCTGGCCAGGAAGGGAGTCTAGACACCTGGTCTTGAGGTGGTTAAGTCAGCAAAATTGATATAATTAAAGTGGAACTGTAGCACCCGGGAAAATGTTTATTAAATTATAAGTTAAAGTATAGGCGAGGCATAACTTAATGGTGTTTAGTTTGGCTTCTTTAAAATAAAATACAAATTTCACATTTTATTTTGATCATGCATTGAAAAGATGGCTGCATGGCATTTCTCAGGACAGGTTTTCTAATGGTGACAACACTGCATGTGTGTTGAAACGGCCCCTATCGGGAGCCTGTGTGAAAGAGTGACAATGCAGCAGCACAATTGGGAGACAGAGACAGAGCGTTGTTACCTTATAACGAGACGTGCCTGAATAAGGACCTACGTGGCAAGACCACCAGGTGTTATTTTAATAAAGGTTGCAGGTTTAAAAATATTGAAAATCCCTTTTGAAATTACAGTATTATGTTAAAACTAATTTGAGATTTTGGTTATTGGGTTTTTATGTACTTGAATTATTGTTAATGATATATTTGATGTTTTTGTGACCAAAAAAAAAAATGGACATATTATATTCAGTTAAATGTCAGGTACTATATATGTCACTTAATCTCGTTCTCTGCACCTTTTGAGATGGTGGTGATGAGTTTTAAATGGCAGTGTCCCTTCCCCAGTATTGGAATACCCATAAGAGGTTAATGTCTGCATTAAAACAAATGGGCTTACATGTACTGCACCCACATGTGCAAGACTTCTCTGCAAACATGGTCAGTGGGCAGTAATAGTGCTTTGTAAGGATTATTTCACAGGAATGAGACGTATGTAAGGAATATACGTGTGGGAAATATGCTGCAATTGTGATTAACTGCTACGATTACCTTTCCTGCTTTTATTTTATTTTTTAATTATCATATTTATTTTATAGAAAAGAACACACAATTCAATGTTCACATATTACTGAAGCTTTTATATACATCCAAATCAGAAGAAGTTTTCCAACTGATTTTCTCTCATCGAATCCTCCTATACTTATATTTTTAACTATTGCCTACCCCAATAAGGTGCCTTAGAGGGAGAAGGGATATTAATAACAAGTACACACACACTTATTTATTACTTAAACTTGGAAGCTCCAAGCAGACCCCAAATAAGCTACTTCTATTTTGGCTATGGTAATAAATCGAATCCAACTATTCCAAATATCCATAAACTGAAGGTGCATAAACTGTAATAGTGAAAAGTAGGGCTAACTGGGGTGTTCGATCTACCTTTTTGTTTTTGTTATGTCTTTATGTATATCAGACACTGATGCCCAAAAGGGCACAATTGGGGGGGACTCCCACCATCTACGTGTCTGTGTCATCTACGTGTCATTGTCCCTGGATACAATTGACACCTCCAGCAACTACTCGAAATTTGTGGGAACATTGAGGGCAACGATACCATCTAGTTCAAATCTTAAAATTCCTCTCTTGAAATTTACTTGACACTGAGAGTTTATGCCTTAAGATATAAGATTTTGTTAACTCGCTTTTTAATATTTTTACAGTTCACTTCTTTCACCCACTAATTTCCTGTTTTTAATGCTTAATAGGTTTCATTGATACTTTTGGATGTGCTACAATTCCACTTTAAGTAAATGGATTTTGTATCAGACAGAAGGTGTCTGTGGCCATCTCTAGGTTAGGAATAAGTGTAACCATCCCCCAGAGAAATGTAGGGACTGCCATTGCTGACCTTTTTCTGAAAATGCTGGTCACTGGTTATCATGAAACCTCATTTGCTTCAATCGTTAAAGGGTATCTATGGTCAAAAAATTAAAATAAATATGTATTTCTACCGTATATTCAATTTCCATACGTTCTATCCCACTGCTAATACCCATATTGATCTAGAAGTTTGTTAACGTACTTATTGAAGATGCCCATAGGATGTATTTCCCCAGTGCACTGACACAATGTCACTCAGTCCTGTGAATATGCACTTCCTACTTCCCACAATGTAACATTATCATTGCTTGCTGAAAGTGATGCATGATGGGCTATGTAGTCTTGAGAAATCAAGACTGCATCACATCAAGCAGCAGGAAAAGAAATGCAAAGCACACTGGGACTCCAGGAAGTTGGTGAAAGTGACGGGCATACAGAAGGCAGCGCTCACTATGTAAAAGGGATTTTTTTTCACGCAAACTTTGATTGCAAAAATTATAGTATGTAATCCTATTACCATGGTGATGTTATAACAGGATAGTATAGGCTGGGACTTTACAACTTCTTTGAGTTACTGGCACCTAACAAGCATGCAGATGAGGAAGTCAGAAAAAGGTCAGCAATCATCATCAGTATACTTCTTTTGGGTGACTCGTAGGCTGTTCACTTTGTAAGGGAAGTATTTCCCTTCCTTACAAATGATGTGAAGCTCTGCCGACTTCCATCATCCAATCACATGCAAGCAAACATACTGTTTTAAAAAAAAAACCATTATTATTATTATTATTTTCTTTGCACGTGATAGGCCCTCACAGGCAGGGCACTCCTTACCATCTTGTCTTGAACTGTATTGTGATTGTAATGTCTTCCTTATATTGTAAAGCGCTGTGCAAACTGTTGGCGCTATATCAATCGTGTACAATAATAATAATTTGGTATTCTTTGCAAAGTGAAATTTCACCTCATTCACTAAGCCAAGGGGAACGTCCCCTGCTAAATGAACAGCCTTTTTGCCATTAGTCACTCAGACCCATTGTGTTGAAGCCAGGGGTCTGTGTGTCAGCCAGGCAAGCAGCATCTGCAGATTGACAAGTCAGAAATGGCAGCTTCTATATTTCTTTCACAAAAGTTTTCCTTTGCAGTCATTAAATGTCTTTTGTTGGTACTCCCCAAGTGGGGAGTTCATAATATCTGAAAGTACTTTGAAATATGACTGCTGATTTATTGCATTTTTTTTTTTGTAGAAGATTATGAACTTGTATATAAAGTACCACTTTACAGATGCTGTTTTAATTCAATATAGATATAATAAATATATTTATACTGTTCAGTGTTATATTCTCTGGCTTGCCGTTTTCAGTTACCTTTTACAGTGCTATCAGAAGTGTACAGTACGTTCTGGTCTTTGATCTTGGCTTAGAGAGTCAAATTCAGTCAGTAGAACAACCAAAGGGTAAGGATTCGTCATTAAAGGAAATATAAATCCAACAACAAAATGTTCTATATTGCCGCTTACCAGTCCTTAGATGTGGTGGCTGCATTAATTTTCCTTTTTTCAGGTTAAGTACAAAAAGTGCAAGTAAATAAAAAAAAAAAAAATTCTTGTTGATCCGGTGTGAAATGCAGTTTCCTTGTAACTTCCTCTACTGAAATTTATAACAATGTTATTAGCCTTCCCAGTTCTTTTCTGCTAACTAAAAAACACTTCTACCTTGTGTAATGGAGATGAGAGGAGGCAGTGTTTGTAATCCAAATCAGGAGAGACACTCACGGTGACAACGCAGCTCTTCCTTATATACACTACAGTGAGTGTTGTCACTTTATCTGGTGATCCTGCCAGTAACACACTTCATGTCCTGAAGTGACAACACTCACTGTACTGTATCTATGGGGGAGCTGCTTTGTCACCCCGGGTTTCTCTCCTGATTTATTTATCTGGTGACCCTGCCAGTAACACACTTCCTGTCCTAAAGGACAAAAGCACAAAAAAGGAATCTAATGTAGCCACCACATCTGGTAAACTGCTATACGTTAAATTTTATGTTTTTTGGGTTTAGATTTGCTTTTAATTGATCTGTGTGGTTCCATCTCGTCTTCACACAT